AGAGACGCCGGCACCCGGCTCTGATCAGCCCCACTGTTTACACCGGGTAACAGGCGAGAGAACCATGGAGACGCCCGCAGCTAGACGCCGAAGAGCGACAAGGCGTTTTGGCTCCTTAAAACACTCATCTGTTTTTAAGATCACTAGAAAGAAGGAAGTCTGGAAGCCGCCTGTGCCAGAAGGAGATGGGAAGTCTTTGCATCCTATTAAACAGGCTGTTTTGCAGGCATAAAATAGAGAATACACCCCCTGCAAGGAGCCCTGCAGGAGTGCGGGGTCTGCAGAGCCCGGGTTGGACCTGCATGAGTGGGAGGCTCCTGCCTCCACCTGCCCAAGAGCAGCTTGTCCGGAGGGTCCTGCCGAGCGGTGCCTCGAGCAGCGGTGCCAGACACCGCCGTGCCGGGATATTCACCCCGTGACGTTGTAGAGCTCTCCTGTCGCTGCTGACAGGCCATGGGGACGGCAATGAGCCCATTGACCACAGCCTGAGCCTCCGCACAGACCAACATCCCGCGGCCTCGTCCAGCGCCCCGGCCACGTCCTTAGCGGGCGCCTTGACAGCTGCGAAGGAGAGAGCAGCAACCCAAACCCCCAGTGCCGCTGGCCTCTGTTCTGCTCTAACGTCCCCCAGTTTGGGGCTATCGGAACATTTCATGGGAGTGCGACTGCGCGTTGTGCCACGGGACTGAATAAAACACCCCCAAATGAGACCAGTGCCTGCGAAACCAGCCCGGTCCCTGCGGCGGCCCGAGCTGCTCGCGCTCAGCGCAGCCCCCGCGGCCACGCGAGGGTCCTGCTGCTCTCACAGGCCCGTTTTGTGTGTCCCACCAACACGTTCTTTTAAAACTGGCCACCGTTTGCATCAATTTTGGAGCCCAGCTCAGGTTAGCATTAAGGATCATTGTGTCCTATCATTCTGGAAACCTATTTAATGTTGGAATATCCAATACTTGGCTACGCTTTGCAATTACGTTATCTCCTTCGGCTTGTCCGGCTGTTTCCATCGATTCCCCATTTTTAGCTTTGGAAAAAAGAGCAAACACTAATATCCCGCTCACCTTTCCATGGCAGCTGAGGTTTTAAAGACCTTCATCCTGTACCTTGGTACTCAGGTCTCTCCAGCTCTAAATGGTTAACTTTATTCTCCATATAAAAACTTCATTTCTTTTTTTCCCCTGATTTATGTATTTATAAGAGAATTTAGCATTGTTAATACTTTTTTTTTTAAATTACAGTTTCCTCTGCCTTTAAGGTCAAAATAGTTTTTAAAACACAGATTTACTCCATTTGTGCTGTGATGATGTCCAGTGACAGAAAAGGAAATTAAGGTTGGTTGCTCATTTCCCCATTATACGTTTACAAGTTTAATAAAGAAGGGAAAGTATGGTAAAAACTACAACTTATGGCTACAGCCAGAGCTAACAGCTTATTTTTACCTTTCATGTTTTTACCAGATAGTGACTTCAGAGCCTGCAGACGCCGGTGGCGTCCAGGCATCGTCTGGATGCTCCGAAGCAGACTGGCTCGCTGCCTCTTCAGCACTTATATGTGCTTGACTCATTTGCATCAGCTCTTCCCAAAGGCTTCAGCAATTTGATTTAATTTACTTTGCTGCAGTTATTCCTATCTTTCATAATTCCAGTATTACTTTTTGAAAAATATATGGAAAAGCCGCAAAGGGAGTACACTTCATTCTCTTAAACAATTATCTTTGGAAAGTAAACAGTCTAAAGTTAAGGAAGGCTTTATATTAATGTTTAATGAATTTTTTAGCCTAAGTACCAGTCTTAAGGATTCTAAACTGGGGAATGAAGGCCCCACAGCCCTTCAGAGCAGTGACAGCCCGTGTCTGTGTTTGCTTTAACAGGCAGCTGCTCTCCATGGGGTGGATGGTACCTGGGTCTACATGCCAAGATTTCTTAGGGAGCAAACACACCACATGGGGGATTGGGCAGAGACTTCACCTGCTGCTCGGGCTTTCCAGTTTATCTCCTAGATGAAGCCATTTCATTTGCTTAGGCGGGAGGTGGGACAGGTACCTGGGTCTACATGCCAAGATTTCTCAAGGAGCAAACACACCACATGGGGGATTTGCCTGGGCTACGTGGCCCTGGGCAGAGACTTCACCAGCTGCTTGGGCTCTCCAGTTTATTTCCTAGACGAAGCCATTTCATTTGCTTAGGAGGGAGGTGGGACACGACACACGAGGTGGGACCGGCTTTCCCCTCGTCACATCGGTGGCAGCAGCAGCTTGCTCCGTGTCTCCCATTGCAATAACCATTCCTGGTGGCCCGGATGAGCACCTGGATGTTCCTTGGCAACGTGCAAGGAGCAGGCATTGCCCGGGGAAGGCAGCGCGGACACGCTCTGTGACAAGGAATGGCTTTGCACTAAAAACGTGCCCGGCACCTCCGTCCCTGCAGCGAGGGGCTCGAACGGGCAACTTCCACTCCTGCAATTCCCGGTTTTGAAGGCAGGTTTGGGTGGGCTCCCAAAGGGATGTAAACTTGGGGCAGGCTAGGAAGAGCTGCAGAAGAACACCGCAATATTGCGTAAATCGGGGAGAAAAACCACCCGCTTCATCGGTTGCAAAGGGAAAAGTAAAACCTGGTTACTAACAAAGTCTCATCCAGTGGAGCCTACGTATCCCAAGCGGCTGCTAAAGTGGGTAACTCATTGAAAAGCAGAAAGTTGTCTTTTCCTAGATAAATCCAAATCAAATATGCACACATTTTGGAAAAAAAAATACAGTAATATATAGCTCTACAGTTTAAAGCTTATGAATGCGGAGTTTAGTGTCAGAGAATATATTGAAAAATACATATTTATGTATACATATTCCCTTGCTTCCCACGCAGAGCAAAGGAAAGCAAGTCCATACCTACTTGGATAAAGGAAGAAATAAATCATAGACCTACCTCGATAAAGGAAGAGCTAAATCATGGGCTCTGTTTTCTCAGGAAAATGAGATCTTAAAGATGCTCCAAATTTGGGCAAAAGAGGGGGAGGAAGATGCCCCTGTGGGGAAGGGGGCCAGGCCGTGCCGTGCTGGCCCCCAAGCGCCTGCTGTGTCCTCAACCCCCAAACGCAAAGGGACCGGCCGCCCTTCGGAGCACCCGGAGAACCCTCGGGCCACCCTGGGCCAGGACACACCACGCAAGGTGGCCGGAGCATTGCAGAAACGTGTCCATGCCACCCTGGGGATCTCCATGAACACGACGGCAGTGATTTCCCAGCCGAAGCCAGGAGATGGATATTACAACCTCAGGTAATGGATTTATTCTGCTGAAATGAAAATGTGATATCTGGAAATTATTTGCACCGCTAGGAGTAAATTGAAATAGAAAAGCAGTGCTGCCCGTGCCTTCACAAACGGGCCCTGCAATCCAAAATCAACCCAGGTCTTCCCAAGCACCTTAGTGCTTGCACAGGGATTTGCCTACCCTACCTGTGCACAAAGGATTGAGCAAATAAAAACTCATTTTTATGGCCAGGTTCATATCCGCAGTGATGCAACAAGATCAAATGGGCCAGCAAAGGCAGTGCTAAACTTCATGTGTCATCCCCACGTCCAGCCACGTGCCTGGAGGAGGCATCTGACTGCTGCTCCTCCAGCACAACTATGCTATTTCCTAACTCACAAGCAGATATTTGCATGGGAAGTGAGGCATTTATGCCCTGTGTGCTAATGGGGAGCTGGAGAGCCAATAACAAGACAACCAACAAGGGGTTACAACCCGCAACGTGTGGGTTTGGAAACCCAGGAGAAGGCAGAGCTCTGCCTTTGGGTCTTGGCAGCTAATCTAAAGCTCAAGCCTAACACGGTCAAGTTTCAAGTTGGACAGATCTTGCAGTTTGCTGGAGTTCAACACGGTTTTTTTGCACCGTCTCCAAGAGCCAGTGTGTTTGCGGGTGGGTTGCAGAAGGTCTTAAGTGCCATGGGAGCCCAGTCCTTATTCTCAAGCATGTGATAAATTTGAATTTCTGGAATCAAATCACATCTTCTCACTGCAGACACTTGCGGGGATCTTCCTGGCTGATGACTGTCTTGGTTTGGCTCCTTGACAAGGTGATAAATGTTCTGAAAATGTCCAACAAGCAGTGAGCATCACGAAGCAGCTCTGAGTTTTACAAGATTCAATATTTGTGATGGAATGCATGAAACTTTTGCAAGTGAAAAATATTCAAATGAACAAACAAGAAAAAAGCTTGGAGTTAAAAACCCTTAAAATGGAGTTAAGCTGCAATATTAATCTATCCACGTATCTCCAAATCATTATTTGCTTTATTCGGCTACCTCTAGCTAGAATGTGACTGTTGAATAACGATGAGCTGCTTTCAGGGCCACGAAGCTGTGATACCTTCCAGCACTACCCGGCTCTGCTGAGGACGTCCGATGGGCTGCAGCTGGGCCACCATCCCCGGGCATGGCCAAGGGGTGTCTCAGAATCACAGAATGCTCAAGGTTGGCAGGGACCTCTCGAGGTCACCTAGTCCAACCCCTGCACACGCAGGGTCACCTAGAGCACGTGGCACAGGACTGCGTCCAAGCGGGTTTGAAGATCTCCAGAGAAGGAGACTCCACAACCTCTCTGGGTCAGGTCCCCTCTCAGCCTTCTCTTCTCCAGGCTGAACAGGCCCAGCTCCCTCAGCCTCTCCTCATAGGGCAGATGTTCCAGGCCCCTGATCATCCTTGTAGCCCTGCGCTGGACTCTCTCCAGCAGCTCCACATCCCTCTTGTGCTGTGGAGCCCAGAACTGGACACAATACTCCAGATGTGGCCTCACCAGGGCTGAGCAGAGGGGCAGGATCCCCTCCCTCGACCTGCTTCTGCCTGCAGGAATGGCTACGTCATGGAAGGAAATTACTTTTTATGGCAAGTCAGCTCAAAATTTAAACAAGAACCTGCCTTCTAACCCTTGTGCTGCAGAGCTCCAGGCACGGGCGAGGGGCCCGAGCAGCTCATGGCCCTATGGCAGAAGCAAGGACCACATCTGGAGAGGACCCCACTGCGCAGCCGCCGCTTCCCGGCGACGCAGCGGATGATGTGGGATGTGGGAAAACTCTGCACTCGCTCTCAAGCCTCTCAAAGCCGGGGATTTACTGCACGCACAAAACCTGCCAACTTTGCAGGTCGGTCTAAGCTGTGTTTAGTTTTGCTCGCCATGCACTCGGTCTCAGGGTGTTTTATGGATCCATAAAAGACACTGCAATCCCACCACAGCTCCGCGATGCACAAGCGGCAGAGCCCCGTGTGTCACACGCGCCCCAGGCGACCTGTTTAGGAAACGGATGCACAGGCTGGGAAAAACTGCCCTGGAGACACGTCCAATCCCAGGAAGCCCGTTTGAAACCCTGCTCCGGTGGGAAAGTTTTCAGGCATGTATGGATTCTCCCTGGAGCTGGCTCCAAAGCCTGACCCGCTCGGAGAGCACCTGGACGTGAAGCCTACAAGGAAACCCCGTCCCAAGGCTGCGTCCCTGCATCCTCGTCCCTGCGGATCCTGCAGGCCGGCCCTCGGGGCTGAAGGACGAGCGCTCCTTGCAGCAAACCCCACAAAGTGAGGAAACGTGCGGGTTTCCTTCTCCATGATCTACTTCTGTAACTCCTGGACACACCACGGTGTAATACTGCTCTTCCAGAATTATTTAAGATGAAAACTGACAAGCAAATAAACCAAACGCACACAAATATAAAAGAACTAAAGGAAAGAGCAGGCAATGTTTTCTAAAACGTAGAGGCTTAAATCCTTCTAATTTCTGCATGCCTTTCTAAGAGAGAAGGTAAAATAGCATTCAAGCAGTTAATGTAAAAACCATTAATTTGAGACTGAACAGAGACCATTAATTTACAGAAAATAATTGTCTCCTCAATAGTCATCTGGAAAATAACTACAACTTCTAAGTATTTCACTGTTAAATATTACAGTGCTTCCAGGAATTACTCCTTTAATGAAAAATTCCTCATCTTTCATTGCAATGCAGGAATTCCACCTGGTGAAAGAAGCTTTAACACATCCTTCCGTGATCCAAGCACGGTCTCTACACCGTCCAGCTTTCTTGAAAAGACTAATACCAGTTCCACTGAAATATTTAACATCAGCTTTTTTTTTTTTTTTTTTTTTTGTGTGTGTTTTTTGCTTTTGGCTATCCAGTCAAACAAGCACTTAATTTTCAGAATGGAAGTTAATTTTCCAGACTGGACCCAGGATATTACGGCCCGGTGTAACTCCTGTGAACAGAGAGATGACTGTGGCTCTGTTTCACCCTTGAGTTCCTCCTCATCACTGTGGCCCAAAAGAGAAACAGCCAAAGAACAGGCCATGGATTAGGGAAAACAACTCCTGTAATTCGGATAAGGCCCCAAAACAGGAAATTGCCTGGAGTTTTCTGTGCTCAGATGCCAGAAGGATGGTTGGGCTCCTGAAGTTAGGATGACGGTCAGGGCTCCCAATTTTAGTGGCCCCCATGAGCTGCGGAATTATTTGATGGAGCCCAGTGGAACAGCGTTTAAAACAAGATTTGCCAAGTGAAATTTTATGCAGATGGTGATAAGGTTCTTCTCCAGCCTTAACAGCCTATGAATATAAATTCTTCCCGTTGGAGACATCATCACTTTTCAGAACTACTGTTCTCCCAGGAGCTCCGTGTGAGCATTGCTTTTGCTTAGATAAAGCCAGCAGCACTCCAGCGCTTTCCACCAGCTGAGGGAAAGTGCCATGAATCTGTAATTTGGATTTGCATCTCCTAAAAATACTATGCAGCAATAAGGCAAGATTTCAACACATTTCAACAACTGCAATTTGGAAAGTGCTTTGTGCTTTGCTTTTGGATAAATGTAAACGAAAGAAAATTTGAAAGGCCAAAATGAGACAAGTAAATAGCATCAATTTTATATTTTTTCAACTTTAAACAAAAGTTAAGTTCCATCACTGTCCTTCAAGCACCAGCACACAAAGTTCAAGACTAAAGCAGCCAATCATTCACAGCAGCATGTACTTTATAATGAAATCTTACAGAGCAATTTACTGGTAATTTATGTCATGTACCAGCCAGAATCAACCACTTATGCTTAATTTCCAACAAATTAGACTTGCCCAGGGCAGTAATTCTACCTGTGAAGTGATTCCTTTCCACATCGCACACGTATGTAGCCATAAACACGGGGTCTTTGGGATCCGATCCCCCCAGAAAGCCAAGCAGCAGCAACGCGTTTTCACTTGTGCTTTGGCCAAGTGAACCAAGATATGCATATTTTTATCATTGTGAAGATACATTACAAGAATTAAAATGCAATGCCTGGATGAAAATTAAACGGTGTTTAAAAATAGCTGCGCTGGGTTCTTTCTAATGGCCTCTCTGACAGATGTGGGCATGATTAATGACGAGGCAATGAAGCCTTGGCTGAAGTTAATCACGAAGACATCAGCTAATATTGACAGCGCGGAGATGAAGGATGCGGAGGCGCCCGCAGCGCGATGCCCCGCGCGGTCCAGCCGCTGGAGCCACGAGGCAGCTCCCCGCAACCCGCAAATCCTGCGGGAAGGAACCCGGGATCGCGCACGTGTGCTGGCTGCTGGCTGGGGGAAAGGCTTTCCGGGACAGCAGGTGAGAGCTGGCCGAGTTCTCAAAGCAAGGATGACAAGAAGGGACTCGATTCCCCTCCCCATGACATGTGCAGGCCGTGCAGGTGCTACCAGGGCTCGGGAACACAGAGGAGGGAAAGGTGGAACAGGAGAGAAGAGGTGAGATGTGCTATATGGGCAAATTCAAGATAGAAGATGAGTATTCTAAAATTAAGCCTACTAAAAGAAGAAGTGAATGTGCACTAATGACAGGAAGCCGTGGGCTCCCTGTTTGTATCAGGATCAGACCAAGTTATTGCTGGAGGTCATTGGTACGAATAGGCCGTGCCACCCAGGCCCGCGGGGCCTCTCGCTCCGAGGTGAGATGTGCTATATGGGCAAATTCAAGATAGAAGATGAGTATTCTAAAATTAAGCCTACTAAAAGAAGAAGTGAATGTGCACTAATGACAGGAAGCCGTGGGCTCCCTGTTTGTATCAGGATCAGACCAAGTTATTGCTGGAGGTCATTGGTACGAATAGGCCGTGCCACCCAGGCCCGCGGGGCCTCTCGCTCCCTGCGTGAGCTCCCATCTCAGCACCTTGGTTGCTCTGCGCCTCCTCCAGCTCGAGCCGTGGGTGCCAGCGCCCGGCGGGGGAGTCCAGCAGCAGCCCTAGTGCTGCCTCAACGCAACGCAACGCTGCCTACCTGGCCCAACACGGCCCAACACGGCCCTACGCGGCCCAACGCGGACCAACGCGGACCAACGCAGCCCAATGCGGCCCAACGTGGCCCAACATGACCCAACGCGGCCCAACGTGGCCCAACATGACCCAACGCGGCCCAACGTGGCCCAACGCGGCCCAACAAGGCCCAATGCACACGGACCAACGCGGCCCAACGTGGCCCAACGCGGCCCAACGCGGACCAACATGGCCCAACGCGGACCAACGTGGCCCAACGTGGACCAACGTGGCCCAACGCGGCCCAACGCGGACCAACGTGGCCCAACACAGCCCAACGCAGGACGGCCTCCGCAGCTTTGGCCAAGAGCACAGCCCAAAGAGCTGCCGCTCACTCTGTCACCCGCTTGGGTACATCACCATGCCAGGGCCTCTGCATCTGCCAGGGACGCCAGGAAGGGGCGGAGAAACCCAGCTCCTACCAGCAATGAATCCCAGAGAGCCGGCAGCGCGAGGAGCTGCAGGACGGACGAGCGGGAGGAGAGCAGGGAACAGCCGTAACCACCGCGGGGGAAGATTTCTGCACAGGGCTCTGCAATAAAAAGGGTTTTTCACCTGGGCATGGGAGGAACAGATGTGCTGGGCAGAACAGAAAATATAGAAATCTGAACATAAAACAAATGCATGGACTTAAAACAACTTTTTTTACTGCTGCTCTGGACAGTGTTTGCAGCCAACCTTTATTTGGCTGGAATCAGGTATCGCTTTTCTTGCCTACATATTTTATTTCCCTGACAAACAAGGTCGCTTTCAAATTAAATGGGCTTTTGGGTGTTGATCTGCAGCAGAGAGCCACCAATAAAGAGACAAATGTCTTTATTTCTGTGTCAAGGCGAGCGCTGTCCTCGGGAGCCCCTGGGCCATTTCGGGCGTGAACGCTGCAGCATTAACCACATTATGGTGACACCCCGGGGCCAGGCCGGGCTCGCACCCCCTTCAGCGGCTGCAAGGTGGAGCAGACAGCAGAGGCCACAGCTGCTCCAGGGTGAGCGAGCTGGCCCTGTTTCCTAAGCACAGAGGTCAATGCGTTTAAATTGAGAGGGATTTAAACCCTGGTGGCAGCTCAGCCTGGGGGACTGTTGGAGCTGCTGAGAATGAGAGGGGTGGATGGGACCATTGGCACAGGCTGCCCAGGGAGGCTGGGGAGGCTCTGGAGATCTCCAACCCACCTGGATGGAGCCCTGTGCCCCTGCTCTGGGTGTCCCTGCTGGAGCAGGGGCTGAACTGGGGGGCTAAGCACAGAGGTCAATGCGTTTAAATTGAGAGGGATTTAAACCCTGGTGGCAGCTCAGCCTGGGGGACTGTTGGAGCTGCTGAGAATGAGAGGGGTGGATGGGACCATTGGCACAGGCTGCCCAGGGAGGCTGGGGAGGCTCTGGAGATCTCCAACCCACCTGGATGGAGCCCTGTGCCCCTGCTCTGGGTGTCCCTGCTGGAGCAGGGGCTGCACTGGGGGATCCCTAGAGGTCCCTGCCGACCCCAGCCGTTCTGTGGCTCTGTGACGGTCCCTGAGCTGGCAGACAAACCGCTCGCAGGCTACAAAGCCTCAACCTCGGCAAGTTAGGGGGAAAAAAAAAAACAAAACAAAAAAACTAGGCAAGAAATTAGAAGGAAAGAGCTCAGAGAACAGCAGCAACGGCAGAATTTACCAGAGAAGAGTCTTGTTGGACAGAGGTAGGTGAGAGCAACATTTCTTGATGGGAATAAGCTCACTCCTACCTGCCCTGGCACCAGCGGAAGGAGCAAGAGCAGGACAAGACGCCCTCGGCTGAGGCAGTGATCATCTTCTGAGGTTTTATTCTGTTTGCAATAGTTGTGCTGCATTCAGTAAGTGTGAAACGGTGCCTGCAGCTCGGTGCATGGGGAGATGGGGGTCTGCTCCTGCTGGAACTGCACCGCTGGGCGCTGCAGACACCCAACCGCAGCCAAACGCCTTAGGAGCGAGGCCAAGGAGAGCCCTTCCCTCCTCAAGGCAGACGCGCTTTCTACCTGCGACTTTCAGAGTGAGCTCCTTGCAGCCAGGTCCTTTAAAGGGGACGATGGCGCTCGCGGGGCGACGGGTCTGGCTGTTCCAGGACACGCTGCCCCTCGCGCACGGCTTGTGCGGCACCCTCCATCTCTCCCCTCAGCACAACTCCACTTTGCACAAAATAATAAAATATTCCACGGTACAGGAATGCTCGTCGCAGCTTGGTATTTAGGGAGCTACAACACCTGGTTTTTGCTGTTACAGTCAAACGCCTTCAGAGGGAGAGGTAGAAAAGCCCCTCTAGTCCTTCTGCTTTATTGACTGCACTGGTTCCTGGGGGTGAGGTGAATGGGGGGAGATCCTTGGCCAGAGCAAGGAATGGGATTGCCAATGAAGGCTTCAAGTGTGTTAGCAAAAGAGGAAAGGGAAAATCATGTTCTTACTGTAGGCATGCAGATTTAGTCTAAATTTCCACTCACTATTTGTTTTGCTCAGGCCCAACCTAGCTCAGGAAATTCAGGCGCGTTGCATTTCCAGTTCCAGCCTCACGGGAGCACCAATATTTAGGATTTTTTTGGGGGACAGCAGGTCCTCTGCCTCCCTCGGTGCCGGCTGCAGCCTGGCGGTGCCGGCGCCGCGGCTCCCGGCTGCAAATCCTTCCCCAAGGCCAACGCGGGGCCGAGCCCCAGGGCAGCCGCTGCCCTTGGCTCCTCCTTGCAGCCCTGCTCTGCAGCTGCCCGGCCTTCCGGACACGGCAAACCTGGGAATGGCCCCTTTCCAACACCGCCAAGGCCTCTGGAAGGCAGGGAGGGCACCTGATGCACGGGTCTGCCTAGAAGGCAGCAGCTCCATTTCCAGAAAAGGTGCCTGCGGTTTGAGGCTGCTCTTTGTTCTATACACCAGAACGAAAAAAAAAAGGAAAAAAGTGGCCTTTTAACATGTATAAGGTAATAGCATTTTCAATACTCATGGAGTCATGAGAACCAACAAATAAAGCTGCTTCTGCCCCTTAATCTATGAGGGTGTTTCAACACCTATATGTGTATTTACAGTTAAATCTAGGCAGCCATTCCAGAAAATCTAGGCTTAGAAGACTCTGTTCGCTTGTCTGCACCCTCCGTAATTAAGGTTTGAGTAGCTCTTCCCGTGTTCAAAGGGATCTTATCAGGAGACCCACGTTGGAAGAGCAGCTTTTAGGCTGCTCCAGGATTGCAAAAGCCCAGGTTCATCAGGCTGCTGGATTGAGATAGAGAACGAGAAGCAGTTGCTCTAGCTTGTATAAACTTATTAATTACACCACGTGGGAAAGGTGCCCAGGGATGAGCATGTTTGCATGGGACTAAATCCTCCCTCTGCACCAAGGAAAGCATGGACCTTAAAATTAGTCTTTAAGATTGCACCAAATGTCCTAATCATCAGCCCATGGTTTGGAGGGGGACAGAAAGGAAAACAAAGCCAAAGCAAAGCCAAACCCAGCAAAATCAGATTCTAAAGCTTTGGTGACACTTTTCTCTGCTGATAGGCTTTGCTTTGACACGGCAGCTCTGTGGAAACGGCCTGTTAGATCATCTAATGAGCTGGGGGCTATGACAGCTCCGCTGGTGAGCTCGAACATATCATAATTCAATTTAAAAACAAAACAAAACATGTACCGCAGAAAATGTATTTGCTGCCCTCTCTAATGAAATGTGAGGCTCCCGGAAAACAAAGCGAAGCAGACGCAATCTCGGCCCCCGCTGCACAGTGCTGAACCTGCACACCCATCAGCGAGGAGAGGCAGCCAGTCCTGCAGGGAACACGCAACGGGAGCGGGGCTCCCTGCACCGCGTCGTGCTGCGGCCACGCACACGGGTGTTGGGAGGGACAAACACCACAGGGATCAGCAACGCGAC